AAAAATATTATCAAAAGAAACATTTTTAAGTTAAAAATAACCACTGCTACATACAATAAAAAAAGCAAAGGCAATTTTATAATGCATCAACTAGCATACATTTTTACCACTTTATTGTGGAGTAGTACTATTTAAAATTGTGATTTAGATTATTCATTTAATATTTACTTCTGGTGTTCTTAGGATGAACATAATTTGAATAATGGGTATTTTATATGTAGTTCTGATTTTGTGACCTGAAATTTAATTAGACATTACTCTGCTGTAAAATCAGTGGTTTTATTCTGCTAATAGGATCTTATCATTTATACTGAAGACTACAATATAATTATTTTTAAACCATGATTTGAATAAACAAGAAATAAAAAGATAGACTTCTTGTGTTTGCTGCTGTTTTCATATTTTGAAACTAAGAATGTGGACAGGCATCCAGTTCTCCTTGCTGCTACTGCTTTGCAGTAAGCATGTCGATTACCCAAGTTCTTAGGACCTCGTATCACTCTACACAGTTTGTAAAATATTTTAGGAGTGTATTTCTAAGGCATTTCTAGATCAATTGGTATCTCAATAGGACATACATGTCTTCAAACTCTGGATTAAAAAAAAATCTGTTTCCGAAGTGTTAAGACTCAACTCTTTGCTGTCAACTCAGAACCATCTCATAGCTGACCCTTCACTGGGTTTTTGAGGCTGTCAATCACATGGGAGGAGATTATCCATCGTTCTTCCACAGAGCTGCTGCTGGATTCGAACTCTCACAGAGAGGCGCCTTTGGGTTAGCAATGCAAATCCTATGGACTATGCCAGAGCTTCCTACAAGTCTAAGGCAGCTAGGAAATTGTATGATGGCTATTTTGGAGAAGTTCACAAATAGAGCTCATACAATTATCACACTTTGTCAGATAAAACTGAAAGGACTTCTTTAGAAAAATGTTTTAGATGATTCCAATTGCAAGTAACTTTAATGTAATTTTTCAATTATAGTTGCATTATTGAGAATAAAAAATAAGAAATTAATTATAAATCAATAATAAAATAGATCTCTTAAGTTGTTTGCCAATATATTTTGGTTCTTTCATATTTAAGTCTTATGTTTTTGGATTGTATCATTTTTTAATTATTAATTTTAATGAAGGTTTACAGAGACTGAGGATTTTCAAAGTGAAGTCATTTAATTGTAGGCTCATTCAGGATCTGGTGAGTAGCTGAGATGTGAAGGTAAGAGTCAAGAAATAATTGTTCTAGATTAGTGTTTCACCAGTACCTAAGACAGTACCAGGCAAACAAAAGAGCTCATAAATAACTATTGAGTAAATAAACAAACAGACTTAAACAATATTTGAGAACATAAGATACAATATTAAAATGATATTCAGCATATCATGTATGTAGGACTATGTAAAACTACACACACACACTCTCACTCACTCACTCTCTTTGCCTTATAAAAGAATATCCAGTGGTCATTAAGTTAGTCAATTCCAATACAAAGTAACTCCATGTCAGAGTAAACTGTATGCCATAATTATGTCTGATTTTGCAAAAGTTGATTGCCAGGCCTTTTTCCCCAAAGGCCGTTCTTGATGGACCAGAAGCCTTACCCGTTATGTTAGAAGCAGAGTACAGTATACCTCATTAAGTGCACCTAGGTACTCTTCTGAGGCTAATAGCCACTATACACATAATAAAGAAAAAAAAAATCAGTAAGTACTGACTGCAGTCTTGAAAGTAAGGATCCTCAGATAATTACAGTTTGAGTTAAAAATGTGGCCCTTTTAAGAACTATGGGAGATTATAAACCACTGCTTTCATTTAAGGGAGCACTAGTGGCCTAAGCATGAAGTAATTAATCATATCACAGCTATTTTAAAAATGACTAAAGTAGTGGGTAGTGATGAGTTTCCTTGAGTTTCTCTGAGCATTCCTGTGTGCCTGCTGTAATCCTCAACATTTTGCATCCTAATTGCTTCTCTGCCTGTATCTCCCATGACAACACATGCTCCTTACAGGGCAGGCATTGCTCTGACCATGTATATATTCTCCTAACACCTAATATATATGTTGGTAGGATATTCAGTGATTGCTAGATAAATGCCTTCTATGGCAGCTGTTAAATTATGGCAGATACACATGCTTTCCTAGTTCCCTGTAGTTGTGTATTCCAGAGAAAGTGTCCACAGTTTGCAAACAGAATGGTAAAGAGATGTACCATATCATCAAAAAGAACTTCTTTCATTGTATGTTTGTTTATTTGTTTTTGCTGTATAATTTTTACCTAAAGCATCTAGTAACCAATAGCTAGAAGCAGGACATTCAGAGAGGATATAAGAACCCAACATGCTAGTCTTATAATTTTGGTGGAAAGGGGGACAAGTGGAGGACATCAAGATGCCATATTGAAATTCTGCTGAACCTTCACACTAGTGGTTTCCATTAGGAGTGAAAAGGTCAATGATAGGCATCAGATCACACAGCAAGGGTTTTCAAGTTAGAATTTCTAAGATTCCACACAGCAAAGCTGCAATTATCTGAATCTAAAAGCATGTCAATCAGGATGCAGTTGAACCATCATGTGAAGTAATTCTTTGAAGATATTATTTCCAAGCCTAATTTGTTAAATATTGTAGGAGACCTTCCAGAAGTTGACCAGTGTAGTACTTGGGAGTATAGGAAAGTCCCGAATTAGAAACAAATTGTCCATAGTCTTAAGAGAATATAGAATCTCTAGTTTGAAATTCTGAAAGATTATAAACCATTGCTTTCTCCCAAACATTATATTTTATAATCATCAACATTTCAATTGCCTCTGTGTCTATTAAGAAGATTTTATAAGTTACTGCAGAAGAAGAAAAGTAAGTTGATGTGCTGACTTTCATTTGTATTTGACATGATAAAGGTTAGCTATGATTATATTTGTAAATGTTTTTCTAAAAAAAAAAAAAAACAACAAAACAAAACACCAAAATTAAAGATACCCAAACAACAAAAATACCCACAGATCCCAAAAATTTTCTTGTAAGAAAATCTTCTGGAAAACTTCATTTTATTAGAGAAACTAGCTCAAGGGTGGAAAATGAAAAATCATTCTATTTACCAATACTGGCTAATAAGAAACCAATTAGGAAAATAAAAAAACCCCAACAAACCCAGTGATGAATAGATACTCCACTTAACATTCTTCTTGGAAACAGTTTTAACATCCAGGGTGATGTAATTGTAAATTCCTCTGTTTATTAAGGATAAAAACATTCTTAAATGTAACACAGTTTTCATTCTTATACAAATAGAGCATGAGAGGCCTGCCTTAGAAAGAAGTTGATAATGGAGATACATTAAAATTGTGAAATATATTCTGAATAAAATTTTATTCCAACAACATTTCTCTATTTTAAATCATGTTTATTGTTTAAATTTTTTTTATCACAGTGGAAATTAACTTTTGCTTAATCATCCAGTCAGTGCTTCCTGATAACTTCATCCAATTCCAAAAAGTAAAATCAACTCATTCATACACTCCAAGTCCTGTCACCTTCCCACCACTCATTGCCTGTGTCAGTTCCTCCTTTTAATGTAACATTGTGATCAGATTGTGAAAAAAGTGTAATAGGCATAATACCGTTTTCAAGTATTCAGAGAGCAGTACATTTGCCTGTACTGTACATTAGAAAACTACCTGTGACATTATTTCTAAGTAAAGGAGAGTGGCTCCTGGTGGAAGGGTAAGGGAGTTGTATGTCACTGTGTATGACAAGGATTTACAGTATTCTAGAATTTTCACAACTCTTCCCATGTTAGTGAACAAACATTAGGTTACTGGTATACTTTTCTACTCTTAGCTCTCAAACATAGGACTTCAAAACTATGAATAAATAAAGCATACACTCAACATATGTAGTGCAAATGCTAAGTAAACAGAATGACATGGAATAGACTCACAGTTGCCAACCAGTGAGTGGTTCAGCAGGGACATCCTGATCTGATGATGTCTGTGACTTGCAATCCTATTCTCAAGTGAACACTGTCACTGTTCCATGTCAGTCAAAATGGCTGAGAAAGACGCTGAGGTGGGACTTTGGAAAAGTGAGGAGGGAAGGAGAAATCCATTTTCAGGAACAGCTGGTATAATTTTTCTGTCATTTCTGTATGTTATGTAGAGTTGATTTGTTAACAAGATCTCAAACCTTGCAAGACACAGCAGGTACTATACAGAGAACTCTAAATGTTTCATTTAAAAGAATTAAAGATTGGCAACTATGTAATAGAGGTGTGTGGCCCAGATAACAAAAGGAATTATGAAATTTTGTGTTTTTTAAAAAATAAAACTTTGGAAACATAATACATAAATATTCAAACATCGCAATACAGAAATGCCATTAAACTTACATAAACACTGGACAATAATGACTGGTTTAACAATGCTGCATAAGCTTTAAACTCTATTATTTGAACAAAAGTCAGAGCTTTTTGTTTGTCTGAAATTATACATTTGACATCATGTTACACATTAAGATTAGAAAAAAGTGGTATAAAAATTTTTTTCATAAAGAAAACAAGTAAAAGGTAATAATTTGTACAATTTGTTAATTACACGTGCTTCCCAAACTCAAGAAATGATCATGGTCTGTAAGAAACAGCAGAACCATAACAAAATAAAACTAAAACAAAGCAGAAGTACAGAAAAAAACCCTGCTGTTGATCTTTTCATTTCCTTTCTCAGCATTTAGCTTTGAAGGAAAAAATGTTCTTTCAAGGTAGTGTTCTAGGCTCACACACATAATAATGCTAGGAGAGAAACATTTTAAATCTTGCCTTCTGATTCATTCTTGTACATCTTGCACCTTCAGCAAACACAAGAAGCAGTCGGCTATAGTTCTCTTTATAGGAGACACATACATACACACGTAAAAGAGCACAAGTGCACATACCCCCTAACACACGCAACTCTGATGAGAAAAGAAACCATTTCTAACCTGGGACACACACATATCAAGACTTCTAACCTGGGACACACACATATCAAGACTTGAAACTATGGTCTGATACGGTCACTTAATTGATTTAAATAATTAAGGCTTCTAAAAGTTTCAGTGCCACAACTCTCTACATCAGTACTTGGAGAAAGACATTTTTGCATTTTAGGCTTGTGCTTTTTACAGCCAGCTTAATTCCACATCATTAGTAAGATCTGATAAGAGAGTGTTAGAATTCTTTGTTGACATACTTTAGTAATTATTAGACTAAATTATAGTGATAAAAATCCAATGAGTGAACAGATTTGTTAATATCACCTGAACTGTTGGTTCATTTTACCTTTTTTTCGTGTTTAATATGGCCATTTCTTTTGTACTTGCCATTGAGGATTCCATTGTGGTAGTGTCCATTAACTGTGCTATGCTTATTTATAGACCACAGACTTTTGATTTTTCTGTAAATAAATTTTGTCACCCAGGACAAGAGGAAGTAAAACAAGGCAGCACCAAGCAACAGCACAAAGGCAATATCCAATAAAAAATATTGACAGAACGAGATTTGATGAACAGCGGCACGTAGGTGATGGGCTCCATTGTGACGAAGAATGTAATCGATCCAATAGATAGTCCGATTGACAGGGTGACCAGGTTGATCCTTGTGAATTTCTGACAACTTCTGAGCCCTCTGCCGGTAGCTGTAGAGTAGGGGCAAAGAAAGAAACAAACAAAATGAGCATATGTATAAGTAAAACTCCTTATGATCAAGTAGGGACTAATTGACACATGACCTACCAGTGGGCTCTAAATCACATTCAAGATTGTCTGTCTCTCTTCCTCAGAGATATTGATGGATTCAAACATCCAGATGTATAGCCTCTGGACTGGCAGAACAACCTCTACTGACACCAGAGCTTTCTTAACATAGATTTTACAAGGTTTTTATTATGAATTTCCCACTTCGGAAACTGGGAAAGTAAAAACAATGTCCATTATGTATTTAGTATGTGTACCCTTTCTCTATACCTATTTAATCTATCTGTTGGACAAATAATTAAAGAAGCTGAACTATGAAGAAGAATGTTACATCAGGATTAGAAGGAGGACACATTAAAAACTGGCATTGTACGGTTGACCCAAACTTGTCTGCAGAAAGTGAAGACAACATGAAGCACTTAATGCGGAAGATCAAAGAAAACAAAAGTCCTCACGAATGGGCCAACAGGCAACATCACGGTAGATGTAGAAGACTGAAGTTATCAACAATTTCATTTTACCTGGATCTACAATTAACACGCATGGTAGTAGCAGTTAAGAAATAAAAATTGTGCTGCACTGGGAAAATCTGCTGTCAAGAATCTTTCCAAAGTGCCAACGTGCAATGGTGCCCATTTAAAGACTATGGTGTGCCACATCCAAACGATGGTTCTCTCAATTGTTTCCTATGCGTATGAAAGCTGGACCATGAATAACGATGACAGAAGAAGAAATAAATGATGCATTTTAATGGTAGTGTTGGAGAAGACTGCAGAATACTCCATCAACTACCAAAAGAACAAAAAAGTCTCTCTTGGAGGAAGTAAAACCTGGATGCTCCCTAGAAGCAAAGACCGTCAAACTTCTTGTTACATTCGTTGGGCATGTTGTCAGGAGTTACTAGTCATTGGATAAAGATGTTATGCTGAGAAAGGTGGAGAAAATGACTCCTCTACAAGATAGACTGGAATAATGACTATGACAAAGGACTTAAGCATGTTTGAGATCAAGAGGAATGGCAGGATAGTGCCAAGGTTCAGATCTGTGTTCCACAGGGCCACTATGAATCACACAGAGTACATTATAATAACAAGGTTGTGCAAAGTCCTTTCAACATATTACCTTACTGTAAACCCCCCTTCCCCCCAAAATAAACTAAGCAGGTAGGGGAAACAGAAGTTGGAAAGACTTAGTAATTTGATGTTAGTCATAAGGTTGAGATTCAGATTTAAATTGTTCTGAGTCTGTGCTCATTCCACCCTAATCACTCCTCTTTTATACACCTTGGTGGTTGTTGGTTGTTGTTGGGTTTTTTTTCCCCTTCACCTGATTTTATATTACCATTAATCAAAGAGTCTCAATCATGGATGAACGTGAATATTAGATTCTAAAAAGAGAATGATACAGGGGGAAAATGCAGAACTCAAATCCATATATCTGACTTATTTTTTAGGCAATGATACTCAGTTTTGTTTTAATTTAAAATAATCTTAAAGTGTGGCAGGGCATGAAGTTAATAAATATACTGAGTACAGAAAAACTGCAAAGAAACTCTGCTGGCTCTGAGGCTATCCACAGTATTGCATGCAATGAATGTAGATATATTTTAGTGTATGTATTTATATATGTACTCAAAGGCTCAAATCCATCAGTTATTCCACAGGAGAAAATGAGCCATGCTCTCCCATGTAATTTATTGTTAGGTGCCATCAAGTTAAGTACAACTCTTAGCAACCCTATAAACACAGCAGATCTGAATCTTATCCTATCCTGTGCCAATCAATCTCACAATCTCTGACATAGTCGAGCTTATTGCTACAGTTACTGTGTCAATCCACCTAGTTAAGAGTCTTCCTCTAGGGTGGGGTGGGCGGGGAGAAAAGTGCAACAACGAATGAATGGAATTCCAAAATCTCTGTAGATGTTCATTGAAATAAAAAAAATAAATAAAAATGAAAAAAAAGAGTCTTCCTCTCCTTCACCATCCCTCCACTTTTCCAAGCATAATGGTCTTCTCCAAGGAACAAACTGGCTTGACCAAAAGAATGCGGCTCTTTGGGCAGTTCGTAAGCTATTCAGTACTCTCCTCTAACTCCACATGTCACAGGCATCAATTCTTCTTCTGTCATCCATATTCACTGGCCAGCTCTCAGATGCAGAGCAAGTGATAAAAAGACCATGGTCTGAGTCAGGTGCACCTTCACCCACAAAGTAACATTGTTGTTCCTCCGTAATTTGGAGAGATCACTGACTGCAGACTTTCCCAGCACAATACGTCTTCTGATCTCCTGATTGCTTGTGCCATTTGGCATCATATGATCTATGATCTACTGCTACTGCAAATATGCTGGATGGTCAGCTTTGAGTAGGTTCTGACTCAATGGTATACAACAACACATACATACGTATGCATGCTCAGAAAATCCTAAAAAACATGAAACTAGGGAGAGGTATAAAACTGTAAGAAGCAACACTCAAATATTTCCCACTAAATAAGTAACACAAATGTGGTCAAAGGCAACTTAAAAAAAAAAAAAGAGAACAAAAACCAAACCTAGTGAAACTTGGGGAGGAGGAAGGGAAAGGCAATCCCATCAGGTTCTAATTCTCCCAAGTTTCACTGTATAAAGAAGATAACTTTAAAAAAATCACCTAACGTGGGCAATCACAAAAATGATGTAATATGGTGAAAACATTTTAATTTAAAATCTGTAACTGTACATTCAGGTGCCAAAGTCCCTGTGACATGGTTCATGTTGGACATGCACTGAGATTCAGTGTGGATCCTTCTTCCCTCAAAACGACATCTATAATCTTCTATGTTTTCCAGGTACAGAGAACTGAGAACTTAAGAGATACTTATAAAAAATTTGAATCCAGAATCTTTCAAATGTTTAACTTTGTTCTATGCTACTTGTTCAAATTTGGCTTATGTTATTGTTGTTGTTTTTTACTTTTTAAAAAAAATTTTTAATTTGTGTGTGTGTGTGTACCGTCAAATCAGATTTGGTACAGGAGGAGACTGTCCCTCCTTCTCCAGCCCAGCATCTGGTGGATTCAAACCATGCACCTCAGGGACTGCAGTGCAGCCTCTTGCCACTAGGCCACCAGCGCTCGCCTACTGTCTGGTTTTAATAACAGCATTACTTTTTTTGAGCAACTCACGTTTATCTTTTTTTTAAACAATTTCATTTTAACAGGTAAAATTCTGATACCATTAAGAATTTTGACAGTTTGCATAACATTTAATTATACTATCAAAGTAATGTTGTTTTGTGCTGTTAAGATTGAATCCACTCATAGCTAGACCTCCAGAAGGTTTCCAGAGACTGTAAATTGCATGAGAGGAAATTGTCCTTAATTTCTCCCATGAAGAGCTGGTGGACTTGAACTGTGTACCTCTAGGTTTGCAGTGCTACTCCCTACCAGTAGGCTACTAGAGCTCCCTTTTCCTAGTAAAAAAGAAACAAATACAGTATTTCTTGTTGACTTTCTAAGTCAACTTACACACGTGAAAGTTCATGGGTATAACTGAGAGCAGTTGAATAGCTGTGAGCTTCTGGAAGAAGCATACACTAGTCATTGTATGGAGGTAAAGGAAAGTATGGGAAACCAGCAAATTAACTAAGCTGAATTGTTCGACTACAGAGCAAGGCAACAGTGATTAAATTATGCATGAATCTGTATCTACATCTGTTATAAAAATGCCTTCTAAGGTAATTTTCCACCTTAGGACTTTTCATGGGACGTTCTAGTTCTTAAATATGACAATGTGACTCACAGAAGAATAAATTGAAAGCGGTAGCCACCATATGAATTCATTTATTTTTATCCATTCATTCCTATAATAAATATGCACCAAGCAGCTATTAGCCTAAGATCCTGGGATAGGTAGCGTGAGAAAGAGCACATCTATAAGATGTTTATAGTGTACAATAAGCTTAGGCTAATTCAGAGCCAATCTAACAGCTGATTAAACCTGCAAATTGCCACAGAAAAGAAACAGGAACATTTGGAGAAAATAAGCAATGTTCCACCTGGAAGGATTAAAGGTTGTGACTTTTTTTTTTAGCTGTGCCTTGTTAAGGAAGAACATTTGAAACAGATGAAGGAGAGGCTTAGGAGCAATATATGATTAGATATTATTGTCATGACTCTAAGAGTCTAGAATGAAATCTGCATAGTGGAGTGGCCAGGCGAGGGATTGTATAACAAGGAAATTATTTTTTTTTTAACTTGTCAAAGAGAGAAGCAGACTGGCAGGTAGGGGTGGCAGGGAGGAAGTGTACAACAATGAATGAATGGAAAAAAATTCTTTTTTTTTTTTAAAAAAAAGGAAGAATATTTGGACCTGTGAAGACCTGTTAGGGCAAGAAAAATGCATGACATAGAACAAGTTCATCTGGAAAGTATATGTTCTTGTTGTTATGCGCTGTTGAGTCACCTGCAACTCATAGTGACCCTATGCACAACAGCCCTAAACCCTGTTCTATCCTGTACCAATCTTATTGTCTCTGACACACCTACCCCGATTATCCTAGTCACTGAATCAATCCATCTCATTGAGGGAAATAGCATGAGGAATATTTTGGTTAGAAGGCTAGAACAAAAAGACAAATTATTTGGCTCACTGGTGTTCTCTATGACAAGGTAAGTGGTTATCTTTGAACCAAGAAGCCTTAAAGATCAGAGAGGCAGGTTTATTGAGCCATACCTTTAGGAATAAACATAAAGAAGGGAAAATACTGATGCTGGGAATAGCACTGGAGAGATTTCATTAACAACTCAAGAGATATTTCCAAACACTGATAATAAAATCAGACAGGTGGTGCAATGGTAGGGATGTTATAGTAGAAATGATTTAAAAGCCAAAGAGGAGAAAGTCAAAGGTAAATGGAACCGTTTTAATGTAATTGGTTCACAACTTATCTGAAGAGGAAAA